AATATTATTTGAATTCTTTAATAACACTACCTGATATACCTTTATACAATGATATGGTCTGTGGGAGACATTATGCTCTTTTTGCAGAAGCAAAACTCCACAAAACACATTAAAGACAAAACCTAACTTACATTACATCTGGTTTTTGGTATTCTTTCTTTTTTCCCCTAATGAGAGCTAGGTTCAATTAAGAAAGCGACCAGTACAGCGGTCAGGAAGTATGCACTTTACCCTGTTGCTGCATGGGACTAGACAATTTAAGTCCAAAATGCCTTAACACTTTACCCTGTTGCTGCATGGGACTACACAATTTAAGTCCAAAATGCCTTATAGAAGGTGAGTAACTATTTGATTTTCAGTAATTTGGGTTCCTAGCACAACCAAGAGTCTAGACTTGTCAGGAATATGGACATCAAGTGCCCACACCACACATCATTATCTGCACCCCAGTATCTGCACAACTCACAAAAACAGTAACAAAGCAGCTATTGTCAAGGTCATGAGAGCTTGCTGGTTGACAGTGACACAGATGACATACTAGAAATAAGGAAGGAGGCAACAAACAAGATAGCCAAGCGTGAGAAACCAGAATTTCCTTATGCAGTACTCCACCCTTCTGAGAGGCCATGACCTGCAGAGTGGAGAATGACAGGAGGAAGCACATGTGTCTAAAGGTAGATTTGTCCTTTGTCCCCTCCCCAGGGATCACTGCCATCTGCCAAACTGTTTATACTGTAGAGCATTCTTGCTCCATCCTTTTCCCACCCACCTTTACCTCAAAGCCAGTGGCAAGAAGACTCAGATGGAGATTATAAACCTCAGTATGAGCATGTACTCCCACTCTCTCACCCTATCTGCCCCTTCCAGCTGTGACTGAGGCTTCCCCAGCTTCTTCTGACTCCCTCCCAGCAGCCCTGGAAGGCGAAGCATTGCTAACCAAAACTCACAGGAAGGAGATGGGTTTGTCACTACAAAGGGACACTCCTCTCCTTTGCTCACCTCATCCTCACTGCCAAACCATTATTCCACCAAAACAGCCTCACCAGTGTTAGCCATAGCTGCACAAAAGGGGTTTAAGACAACCAGCCTCTCCTGACCTTGATCCAATGCAAGCAGTTTTAACATACTAACAAATACAAACAATGGACAAAACAACAACAAAACCACGCAAAACAGCCTGTCATTGAAGCATCAATTTCAGCTGTTTCTGTACTGTCACCTAAACATATTCCTTAGGTCAAGCAGCATCTTCTGAGTACTTTACAATCATGGTCTTTCCCTCTAGGCTTATCTTCTAGCACCAATCTCTCCTCACCTCTTCCACTTTCCCCTCCATACAGTCAATTTGTTTCTTCCCTCTCTGTCCTTTAATTTTCCATTTAATCTTAGTCACCCCACAACTAAAATCTGTTTTATTAAATAACAGTAACCATAATTAATAAAGTTCTCACAGATTTTAAACAAATAAAGACTGGTATTTATAATGAGATAAATGAGTAAATCCTGAGAAAATATTACAAGTATTGCAATAAAAATTTATGTATTTTCTAAAAATAAACCAAAGTAACAAGGCAAACATAAGCAAAAAAATAAGAGAATCACAATTAGTTACCTTTTGTCTGTTGTATGCTAATAAATGCTTACGATGTTTTTCTTGAAATTCTGAAATCTAAAAATAAATAGTTATATCAAGCTTCACTTCATTACATTTATGCAACCTCAGCCAAGAAGTAATAGGAAAGAACTACTTCACAGTGTTCAGAGTTTTCTGTATTTTAATAAGTTGTTAGCATATCTCCTTTACATCCTCTCAAAAAAAAACCCCATAAAACATTCTACATTATTAGCATTGATAAAGTCTTAGAAAGTTTATTTAACCCAATATGACCTACCCTAGTTGGTAGATTTATTTCACTGAATCTGTATTTTAAAACTATATTCAATAAAAGGCAAAGGCATTAGAAAGCCAGTTTAGCTGCAGTGTTTCTTATTCATTAGCACTAAGCAAACACATGAAATTAATGGCAACATAAAAAGTAATCTGTCTTGCTGGCAATTATAGCATGCCTTGTAAAAATATCCTGTTAATTAAGAAATAATTGTTAGACAAATCAACTGTTGGCTGATTTGTAAGCACTTCTTGTGTCCAAATGAGGATCATAAACCATGACAGGTTAAAAGTAACGACAAGGTAGGCAAGACAAGAACTCGAGGAATAAATTACCACACCATACTTCTAATAAATATTTCTTCTCATGTTTAAGAAAACTGCCAGAAAATTCATAGGAATAGAGAAAACCAAGATACACTCTGAGAATATAAACCCACAGTGGAGTATCTCGTTGAAATGGTTAGTTTTTATTCACTGTGGAAGAACCTGGTATGTTTCCAAAGGATCAGAACTGATCTACTCAGCAAAGGATCAGAAGTGTCTTTAGAAATGTCTTCAGAAGAACCGAGGGAAGAAATATCCACTCAGAAAACAATGGTTCTGAGCTGCCTCCCACTACTCAGAAATGAGTTCTAGGGTCTAGAAGAAATCTGTAAAAATGTTAATTCAGTGCTCAGCACCAGTCAAAAAAGTAAATCAGATCTTAGCAGTGGTTTAAAAAAATAGAATAGGGGACATCATTACTCCGCTTAAAAAATGCATGTTACTATATCTGTCTGATTAACATCTCAGAAAGGATATAGTAGGTCTGGAAATAGGTCAGATTAATCAGAGGTATGTAAAAGCTTCAGTAAAACAATGACCACCTAGAATATGTAATCTTCATGGCTGAGAGAAGATAGTTGAAAAAAGGAAAGTTGTTAGCAACCTAAAACTAATGATTACCACAGACAGAGTGCATAGGAATGGTTACTTTTTCCTCCAGAATGGGATACAAGATTATCATATGAAACTAGCAAGTTAAAACTTGAAAAAGGAAATCATCATCATGCAGTGAACAACATGTGGACCTCCTTTGCACAGTATGGGATAGATGCTAAAGTTCAGGAAACAACTTGACAAATATGTGGGGAAAAATATCCACCACAAGTTTCTGTATGCAAAGGCACCAACCCCAGCTTAAGAAATCCCTGTGCCACAAGCTGGGAAGCTGTTCTGAGGACATATTACTACATGCCAGCCTTGCTCTCACATGCTTTCCTAAGCACGCACGGTTGTGACAAGATTTTAGAGTAGATAAACCTGTGCAAGTTTCTCTTATGATGCTGAGAGAAGTTCTGAACATACCTTAATGCCCACATTACACTTCAATATGTGCCCAATAGATTATCTCAGGCTACAGAAACCCCACTTTACACTTTTGAGATTGTGTCCTCTTTTTCCTTCCTTTGGCACGTCAGAGGTTTGTGTTCACATGTGATTGGGGTGTGGTTGCCTACATTTGTTCAGTTTACAGAACAACTCCTGATCACGGTACATGCTGTTAAGAAGTGTGTATGGAAGGACAGAGGTAAGCTTCATGTTTACCTTGTGTCACCTATGCAGTTTTGGAGGAGCAGTGCTGGGAAATGGACCAAGCCCAGCTTTGGAGAAATTAGTGAAGCATGGAGTAGAGCAAATGTGAATCCATTGTCACCACTGAAGAAAGAAGGCAATCTTCCCTGGGTTACTTTCCTGCTGGATCAGGATCACCAAAAGATCAAACAAGTACCACAAGTGAGATGAGAATAGACAGTGAAGGTTCAAGGAGAATGTACTGCAGATTCATTGAAACTGTCATTGAAATGCTCGGTATGAGGGACAAGGAGAAGTCCCAAAGGCAAGCTGAAAAGATGCAGAAAATGAGGAGGCAATGGGAGTTTGTATGCATTCATATTTGTATGCATTGTAGCAGACAGCTACTATAGCTCTTGAGAGAGAGGCCTGCTTTGATTTTTTTAAAAAAAAAAAGGAGGAAGAATGAAAGAGCAAAGTCAGCTCAGGACTGCAGCCAGCTCAGGTTTTCACAGTGTAACTTTTTATTGCTATAATTAGGGCACACTATCTAGGCACTTTTAAGCTTCTGGCATATCTAATTTTTCATTGCATGGCATTGAAAGTGATTTTACACCATTAAAATAACCAGACTAGTGGTCCTTGGAGAGATTTTGAAAACATAATCAGTGACCGTAATGAATAATTTATGCTTTCTTAAGAACCTTGAAACTGTGGAATTAAGGAAGTAAAGATGGTAATGGGTATACATTCATTTTCAAGCATCCACTCATATATTTTTCCCATTGACATAAAAATCAGTAGGAGTTGCTTATTACTTTGAAGAGTTAAAAAGTTTTAAGGCAGATTCACCTGTGTTATTTCTTTTGAATACTTCTTGCATAACGTATCTATTCCCATGAACAGTGATTGAATATCAGGACTTGTCTACCAAGAAAAGAAAGTATACCAAGGTTAGCATTTTTATTCGCAAACTATATTAAATAAAGCATTTTATAAACTCTTGGTTACATTGACTGATGTATATAAATTTTAAAAAATGGACAGATCATGAGTAGGATAATACAAAAATTGAAAACAAGACCAGTTTTCTTTAATGCCCTTGTCAACCATCGGGAAGGTTTTGGGCTTTTGTTTAAATATATTACACACATACATACTTATTCTAAGTAAGACTAATAATGTCCAGAGGACATTCAAGGAAGATGTTGTTGCTCCTAGAAGCTTTTAGAAAATGCTGAGTAAGTGTTCGGTACTTAAGATACCATTGAAAT